CGTACCCCTCTGTAGGTATACGGTTTTGGAATTCTAAGCCTTGGAACATTCTCTCGTGCGGGGGGCTTGCCCATTACTATTCGCATGTTGAAGTATTAATAATTGAGCTCTCAATGCTTCCATTTCATCTTGCATATCAGCCAGGATAGCATCAGCTTCATTCATTGATGTGCAAGCCTTTCTACTTTCATCAAGTTGGATGTGTAATTCACGAATTTTCGTATCCACCACGTCGAATTTTTCCTCAAAGCTATCCACGATATAACACAATCTAGTAGTTGTCACCTCAAGCGCATCCACACGCTGTTTCATATTCCACTTTTGAGGATCTACAACTTCTATGGTGTTCGATTGAATTGGATCCATAGCTTCCATAGCTTTCTTATCGAGGGACATGAACCACAGCTCTGATACGAACTTTCATGGGGTACCTTTCTTTTTAGCACAGAAAGAGATACCGTGCGGCAGTAATTTGCTCGGTTAGACTACCTTCCGCCTTCTCTCGGTCATTCCAAGATGAAAGAAGATTTGATTACAATTTGTAGAAAGCTTGCAACATAAAATTGAGATGCATTGAAAGTAAATTAGTTATTGATTGCTTGAAAGCTAGAAATTATAATTGATGAAAGTAGGAAATTACAATGGCTGGTGCAGGGGGCGAATACCAGAAAGTTTGAAAGATTGTTTGAAAGACTAATACCCCCTATAATAGCATTCGGAACAAAAATCTAAGTGATAAGAGTAGATGTTTAAATGCTGAGGAATCATACTAAACGTTTACCAATATCATAACTATTTTACAATTGAAATGAACTATTACAATGGAAAAGAAATTACAACTCAAACTTGAAATAATATTTACAATGTCCGGCTAAAGTTGGACACATGGACATGAATATCGAATTGAAAATTACCCATTAGTAGGATCCTTATTTTCCTTCATTTTTCCTATTTATTTATTTTTTCCATTTCCAACTGATATTCCAACTTCTTTGACTCTTGAAACTCTTATGATTATGGACTATGTAAATTGGAAGATTAAACAGACGGGTTAATAATGGTGTTAGTGGTGGTTAGTAGCAGCTATAATAGACAGTCTGTTTAATCACCCATTGTAGCTTATAATAGAGGTCGAAGAAAGAAAACAAAAAAAATCTTCTCTGGTCCAATTATTTCCTTCTTTATCTATTTGAAGATTTTTAGTTCGTATTTGAGTCTTAGCAATGTTCAAATAACCTTTAGTTTTTGGGTATAGAAACTTAGTACTCAACTTCTACTAATTTATCCATTGTATTCTGGTAGACAAACGCTCAATGAAACCTCGAACATTTGCAGTGAGAGGCAAATCTATTTTAAGGATATTGTGGAATAGACGGATCTCAATTTGCAAATATGTTCTCTCTTTAGTGATTCATATTTTCCTTTTTCGCAGTTCTTAATTTTATGTTTTGTTCTTCTATAGTTACTAAATATAATATCATATTAAACATTTCGGATAACAATTTTTAAAGAGATTTCTTTCTCAAGAACAAACATGTTATAATTTTTGCATTAGGGAATTAGTAGTTGTCTCGTGTTTCAAAAATGGCAACCGGATCAATCCTGATATGACTTAGACAGTGACTTAACCAACTAGTCCTGCTCTAATGGTTCAAGTTAATTATGGAGAAAACTTGGAGAAATTTAATAAGCAGAATTTCAACACATAGCAGCATAAGATATTGTTTTATCTTATTACCCTGAATCTTCTAAAGTTCTCGACTTAGATTGCTTAAAAGATATAAAGAAAGTAAGAGAGATATACAAGTTAGCAGTGTACTTGATGCTTGGAAGCATTCTGATTCCACAAAGTCTTTATGAACAGATTGATTGATTACTATATATGTATTGTATGACGAAAATGGCTAAGGAATTGTTGGAGTCTTTAGTATAAAACTGAGGATGTCTGGCCAAGAAATTTATTGTTGGCTACTTCCTAATTATAAATGGTAGACTTCTATATTGTGCTTGAGTGAGATAAAATCATTTTGTCTAAAATTGGAATGTTTGTTGGCAAATGTTATGTGTCGATGGACAGTTTATGCTTGATGTCATGGCTGTTAAGTTGAAAATGAATAAAACTAACTTGCTTGAGTCTTCCACTTTCGGGCGTAGTAGACTAGAATATGTTAATTATGATACTTTGTGCAGATTAATTATCTTGAATTGCATACACATGTTCTATATTGAATTTAAACCTAGGTGTGAGACTTGTATTGAGGCAAAATTAACAAGTTCATCATTTCAATCTATTAAAAGAATTATAGGACCATTTGATTTAATTTACAACTATGTATGTGATTTAAAATACAAACAAAATGTTGCAGTAAATACTTTATTACTTTTATCAACGAGAACACAAAATATTGTTATGTGTATCTGTTTAAAAGTAAGGATGAAGTTATAGAGAAATTTGTTCTCTGAAAGAATTAAGGGTCCGTTTGATTGCAAGTGTAGAAAATTGGTGGAAAGAAAATGAATTCTAGGGAAAGTAATTGCCTAGAAAATGTTTTGCAGGAAATTGTTAATTAAGTGAGTTTGATTGTTATAATTTTCCACCCAAAAAATTTTTAAATTTTGTGCTCATTTGACTTTGTTTTATATGGAAATTGTCCATTAAAGTGATAATTATTTCCACAATTGGTTATAAAATTTGTTTCCATTGCCAAAAAGTAAAAAAAAAAAATTTCCTAAAAAATCATTTTTTTTTATCAAAATTTAGTTTTCGTTTGACTTTGTTTTACATAAAAATTGTCTATTAAAGTGAAAAAAAAATTACAACTGGTTATGAAATTTGTTTTCATTGTCAAAAAAAATATATATATATTACATCAGACTAGAAAATATGGTGGGAAAGCATGTTCCCTAAATTGTAGGAAAAGGGGCGCGTGGGGAGGGGGGAGGGAAAATTATTTCTTGGCCAAATTTTAGCTATCAAACACTACTTTTTGGTGAAGTTGGAAATTATTTTCCTTTTTCCTAGGAAAATGCAATCAAACACTACATTTTGACAAAGCGAGAAATTATTTTCCTTTTTCCTAGGAAAATCGATTCCATCAAACAGGGCCAAAGTTGAAAATTAACTTATTAAGAAAATTAATATATTGAGAAGTGATTGATGTAGTGAATATGAAAAAAAATTTGCTAAATTCTGTGCACAACACGAAATCACATATGAAATGACAATACGTTATTCACTTCAGCAAAATAGTGTTGTTGAACAAAAAAAAAAATTCATACTTTAAAGAAATTATGAATACATTATTATTAAGTTTTGGATCACCTCAAAACATGTGGGGGAAAATTATGTTATCAGCAAATTACATTTTAAATAAGGTGCCTCCAAAGAAAAATAAGAGAGTCCATATAAGTTATGTAAAGGGAAAAAGTCCTTCTATAAATACCTACGAATGTGTAGATGTTTTCTCATAAAGGCTATATATACACCTAAGAAAGTAAAAATATGCTCGAAAACTGTAAATTGCATGTTCATTAGATATGCATATAATAATAGTAGTGCTTATCGATTGATTGTACATGAATCTAAAATAGCATATATATATATATATAAAAAAAAGGATAATAAAATCAAGACAGGCTTCGTTATTTGGTCATGTATTTCATATACATCCAAAGAGAAAGCAAGCTCCTCTAAATGAACAGATGAAACTAGGAGTATACCCATGATCAAGGATTAGAAGAGGAACTTGAGATTAAAAAAAGACTTAGCAAAAGATCGACGACAAAAAATTCATTTGATCCCAATTTTCTAACTTCTATGCTGAAAAGTGAACATCAAAATTTTCAAGAAACCGAACTCTTCAAAAGGACCTCAGTGAAAGAGATAATTAAAAGTAAAATATTAATTTTTGAAAAACTAATGAACCTTGAAAAACAAATTGCAAGTTTTTAGAAATAATTCATTCATACCTATTTTCCGAGTGCTTAGATTAAGTCTATGTTTGACACCCATTTTTCTTTCTCATTCTCATTCTTATTTTTTTTTTCTTCATTTAAACCACCCATTCTATCAATAAAATAATATTACACATATAATTTTGCTCATCAATTAAGCCCATGTTTGACACCCATTTTTTCTCAATATATTTCTCATTCTTCATTTCAACCACACATTCTATTAATAAAATAATATTACACATAAACCAAAAAAATCTCCTTACTTTTTAACCACACATTTTTCCATCAATCACTGTTCAAAATCAAATTCTTGCATAAAATGAGTGTCAAACAAGGGCTAAATACAAGATAACGTAAATATTTTCACCTAAAATAATGAATATCCAACCTATTCCTAACAACCGACCTAAGATTCTTTCAAACACAATACTCTAGTTCGGTAAAGCTTTTGTTTGCTAAAAAAGCTAGTAAAATTTAATTTTAATCATACATTTAATTGGATAAACAACTTTTATCCAAAATTTCACCACATTTTATATAATCCACATATTTTGAGTAACATCACATAGTCGCAAAATACATCCTAAAATATTAAAATAAAAATACAGAAGGTGATGTGTAAAGACAGTCAATTAAACATTTTGAACTTCAGCACGTTACAAATCAACATGAAAGATAATAATTATGATCTAACATCGTATGTACAAATATGTTATATAGGTATTTTTTCTTATTTATTTTTTATACACAAGAAATGAACATTATGGGTGTCGCTCTATATACAGCAAAGTTCTTTCCCTGTTTCTCAGTTCAAAGGTTAACACCACTTGCAGACATGGCATTCATTTGGAAAGGTAAGATATTGGAATGTTTGCAAAAGCTTCTTCACTTTCTTCAGTTCCAATCCTAGCGCGGGGTAGAAACTGCATCCAATTCGCAAATATCTCCGGCTTAAAATATAGTTTTGGTTATCAACTTAAAGAACTAAAAAAACTTGGAGGACAGTTTACAACAGAACAGCAATTAAAGTTAGCAATATTACACTAGTCAGATGCTCCAAAACAGGATGTTTCCTCTTGTTCAGGATTTGTTACTATCCTATGCTTAAGTTGGGGGCTTATGTATTCAACACCAGTTTCAGTTGAGACAGAGGAATCTGGAATTGAATTTGCTACTGAGTCAGATTTTTGTATCTGATTTCTGAAAACTCTGGGAAGCAAGCCGCGGAGGAGATGCAGGCTCCAAACTCTCTTCACTTTCAGCAGTAAGTCGTCTAACAAGATTCATGACTGTGGGAAGGAATTTTGTCGAGAGCGAAATAAGCGCAGAAAGCTGCAAAAGGAATCAAAATTAGCCTTGGCAATGCTTGGAATGACCCCTAAGAGCTTCTACAAGTGACTATTAAGAGTTTATTAAATCCCGATTGAAAAGGAAAAAGATAAAAGCGCATGTAATGACATTCCCATACTGGTAAAAATAACAAAAAAAAAAAAATGCTCGCTTCGATGAGCATAGATTGTAGATATAGTCGCTGCAAATATTGAATGAGTTTTTACTCACAATACCAATACGAACTTCCGCTGGAATGTCCATCTGTACCCATATGGCTTTCCCAAGCAAATATGTTATAAAATATCACCAGAAGGTAAAGAGGATTCCTGTTTAAAGCACAATTTGTGAAAAGAAAACACGGGTTACTATAATAAGGAGAAAGTGGTTGTTAATATATCCAGCAGAATTACATAAAAGTAGCCATAAAAATTGGGGAGAACGCCTTACCTTAAAAGGAACATTATTTCATTTAGACCAAGTATAAGCATTGCCATGATTGCCCAAGGAGGAGGTAACCAACTGTTGCGTTGCTCGTATGTCCTCTGTAGGAAATATATTTTCTAGGTTTAGAATACATAAGACCAGCCAAAGGAATAAAATACTTAGCATTATGCTCATTAGAGGGACCTCAACCAGAGAAAGAAAGTACAACGAAATCACAATTTTGCGCCAAAATCGGATTGATGAATCATCAACTTCCAACACGAGGAAACCCCAAGAAGGGTTTTACAAGATCATGTAACGGTACAAAGTGAATACTCAAGAGATTGGGCACGTGCAAATGTTGTGGAGGAGAGATTTCAAGCGTCAGCATCCCACACTCCACAGTAAAGAAAAGTACACAATAGAATTTATCATCCCAGGTACTAAAAAGCATATAGCTTTTTTGTGAGACTTTATTTGTGAACACACACGAAAGTATTAAAATAATTTAATATACCGAAATCTAGAATTACAAAGCACGGATATATAAAGTCGCACTACTGGCTGAGATCTATGTTCACAGGCACAATTTTTATCTAATTAATAGCTCTTATTTTCATATGCATTTCAGGTAGTAATGAAACGCATCATCTTCATCCAATTATTTCAATGGCTTGATTAAAAAAGACTGAAATATTAAAGGATGACAAGATTATAATCCAAATACTGCAACTAAAAGTACATCAAAACCCAGAAAACAAGTAGGCTTATGCTAACCTAAAAGCCTCCAAAGATTGTTCCTTTTGTCTACCTTAATAGGTTAGATACATTACATGGAAAAAAAAAAAAAAAAGCATATGCTAAATTTTAACCTGTGCAATGACAGCTTGAGTGACCGTATACTCAGTTTCCGCAATAAACTGTCTCCAAATGGACTTGCACTGCACAGGTGAAATCAACGTCTTCTCTGGAGGGACCTAAAACGTATTCAAAGCTAGTGAAAAACTAATTCATGTAATTTGAGTAGAAACCAATAGCAGGCATGCTCATCGTGACCTCTTCCCATGTGCTTGAAGCAAGAGGATCTCCAGAAACTCCATTTCCCCTGTTCTGAGGAGGGGTGACTGTCCTGTCCATGAGGGTGGAGAATAGTACATTCTCTATGTTGTTTGCTTTCTGATCCAATTGTACAGCAGCCATTGTGGACAAAAGCTTCAAAGACTGCAAAAGAATGATAGCTCATTTCAGAAAATATAACTTGGTTAGGTCAGTAGTATTAACATAGAGGATTCTGCCACCTCATCAAGAAGAATTGGACACGTCATTGAAGGAGTAACAACTGAATCTAACTTAATTGCACAGAAAACAACTTTGTAACAATAGAAGAATTTGTTGATATTTACCTTCAGTAGTTGTAACTACTTTATATTCCTTTCTTCCTGTATAAATTCCACAATCAATGAAATGAAATCTTGCTTGAGCATTCAGCCAAAATATGGAATTCTGTCATGGTATCAGAGCCTTCTAGACTTACCGTCACCAATCTATGGCCTTATCCTCTCTCACTTCTTCTTCCAGTTCTTCCTCCTCTACGATGTCGCCATTCTCACACCTTGTCTCCACTAAGCTCACCCTTGATAATTTCTCTATATGGAAAGTTCAAATTACAGCTTATCTTCAAAGCCAGGATCTCTATCAATACATTGATGGCACACTCCCCACTCCCTCTGAAACCATTACTACGGCCAACGAGTCATCCCCTAATCCTGACTTTGCCACTTGGAAGAAAACAGACAAATTAGTTCTCAGTATCCTGTTCTCCTCCATCTCTGAAGCAGTACTGGGTCATGTTCTCTCCTCCAAAACTTCTCATGCCTTATGGCAGGCCCTTCAATCCTTGTTCTCGTCCCAATCTCAGGCAAAACAATTTCAAGTTCGTTTCCAATTGGCCAATCTCTCTCGTGGTGAGCAAACTATCACTGATTATTTTGGGAAGGTTCGAACTCTTGCTGACATTCTGGCCACCACTGGTAACCCTCTCCCTGAGGCAGATCTTGTCACCTACCTTCTCACTGGCCTTGGCTCAGCATATGACTCCTTTATAACTTCCATCACTACTCGAGCAGATCCCATTTCCTCTACTGAACTTTATCTACTACTTATACATGAAAGTCGTATCTCTCACTCCTCACGTATTATACTCCCTCCTGAACCCTCTGCTAATTTTACACAATATGGTGGTCGAACAAGGGGAACTTACAGGGGAGGTCGTCACGGCCGAAATGGATATGGTCGAGGAAGGGCACCTTTCTCAAATCGTGGTGGTCGCTATGGATCTGCTACCTCCTTTTCAAATGGCTCTTTCAATCAACATTCCACCTGTCAAGTCTGCAAAAAATTTGGACATGAAGTTCTTCAATGCCGTTATCGATTTGACCACAGCTACCAGTATGCTGCTCCTCCCTCCTTTTCAGCCAATTTCACCACTCCCAACAATGGTTCGGACTTCAATTGGTACCCAGACTCTGGTGCCACTCATCACATCACCAACGAATTAGCTAACCTCAATCTATCCTCTGAACCTTACAGTGGCGTTGAACAAATTCACGTTGGAGATGGTTCAGCCCTACCCATTCATCATACTGGTGACTCCTCTCTCTCAACCCCCTTCTCCTCGTTTTTACTTCGCAATCTTCTTCATGTTCCTAGCATAACGAAGAATCTCATCTCTGTTTCTCAATTCTGCCGTGACAATCTTTGTTTCTTTGAATTTCACTCTGATTTTTTTGTTGTCAAGGACTCCAAGACAGGGACCTCCCTCCTCACAGGTCCGGTTATTGATGGATTGTACGCCTTTCCCACCACTACTGCACCTCCGCCCGTCTCTCATTCCTCCCCATCTGCTCACATTGGTGAACGTACATCCATGGCTCAGTGGCACTTTCGCCTTGGTCATCCTCATCGTTCTGTGGTCTCCAGTATCCTACGCACCACCTGCTTGAAGCTTCTCCCCACCAAATCCACCTTCTCCTGTGTTACTTGCCCTTTAGCAAAAAGCCACCAACTGGGCTTCACCTCTTCTTGGGCCCGGACCAGTAAGCCCTTAGAAATAGTGTGTGCAGACGTTTGGGGCCCAGCTCCTTCTTCCTCTAGATTAGGCTTCAAATATTATCTCTCATTTGTAGACAATTTTACAAGGTTTACTTGGTTTTATCCCTTACGATACAAATCTGATGTTGCTCAAGTTTTTCCTATTTTTTTATCGTTAATTGAGCGTTTATTTAATACCAAACTTATTACCTTACAAACGGACGGTGGTGGGGAATTTAAGCCTCTAACACCAATATGTCAAAAACTTGGATTACTCACCAGTTTTCGTGCCCACATACTCATCAACAAAATGGGCTCGTAGAACGCAAGCATCGACATATTGTTGAGACTGGGCTTGCCCTAATGGCCCATGCCAATCTACCACCTCGTTTTTGGGCCGACGCTTTTGAAACTGCAGTTTACCTTATTAATCGGTTACCATCTAAAACTACTCAAAATACGTCTCCATTCTTTCATGTTTACAAAAATCACCCTGATTATGAATTTCTCAAAGTGTTCGGCTGCTTGTGTTTTCCAAATCTTCGTCCTTATAATCAGCATAAAATCAATTATCGCTCATCTCCTTGTCTCTTTATTGGGTATAGCTCGTCACATAAGGGTTATAAATGTCTTGACATAAAAACACATAGACTTTACATTTCACGTGATGTTATCTTTCATGAATCATCATTTCCCTTTTCTAGCTCCCCTAATTCGCAAATTATTGAGCCCAACTTCCAGCCCACTTCATCTCTTCCTCGACAGGCAAGTCTGCCATTATTCCCTCAATCCATTCTCGGCCCAGGTCCAGGCCCAAGTCCCTCCCTCCTTGGCCCAGGTCCACCAACACTCAATCATCCTTCACCAACTCCCTCTTCATCCTCTCACTCCGAAATTCCCAATTCTTCTTCAGTTTCTCCTCCTGCAATTCCAAGTCCCCCTGCCTTGCCCATCCTTTCCCCTCCTCGTTCTCCCATTATGACACGTTCCCACACTAATTCTTCACGTCCTCTTATTCGTACCGACGGTACCATCCCATTCCCTTCTCGAGCTTACTTTAGCTCTGCCATCCCCGTTCCTGAAAACCCAAGCTCTTACACTGAAGCTCGCAAGTACCCTGATTGGCAACATGCCATGCAGCAAGAGTATGACGCTCTGGTTCAAAATGAAACTTGGTCCTTAGTACCGTTTAATCTGTCTCTAAATGTGCTTGGTTGTAGGTGGATCTTTAAAACCAAGCTTCTGGCAGATGGTTCTCTTGAACGGAGGAAAGCACGCCTTGTGGCTAAAGGCTATCACCAACAGCTGGGACTTGATTTCGAAGACACCTTCAGCCCAGTAGTCAAGCCCACCACCATTCGCCTCATACTCTCAATTGCTGCAGCTCGTGGGTGGCCACTTCGACAGGTTGACATTCACAATGCTTTTCTTCATGGAACACTCCATGATCAGGTATACATGCAACAGCCCCAAGGATTTATCAACCCTTTGTTTCCTACACATGTATGTAAACTGCACAAAGCTCTTTATGGCCTGAAACAGGCTCCTAGAGCATGGTTCGCACAGCTCAGTTCGTGGCTGCTTTCTTATGGTTTTCTTGCTTTCAAAGTTGATGCTTCTTTATTTGTTCTCACTGATGGTGATTTGCACATTTACCTTCTTGTTTATGTTGATGATTTCATCATCACTGCCTCTAAACCCTCTGCAATTGACACCTTTGTTCGAGACTTAAGCATGGCTTTCCCAGTTAAAGACTTAGGCCCTCTTTCATACTTTCTTGGGATGGAGATCACTTATCTGTCCACTGGAATTCTAGTTTCTCAGAGGAAGTACATCAAGGATATTCTCTCTCGGAGCAAGATGTTAACTTCCAAGCCAGTCTCGTCCCCTATGGCTTCCTCGTTGTGGCTGTCTCAGTTTGATAACCCATCGTTTGATGATGTTACTCTCTTTCGAAGTGTTGTTGGGGGTTTACAGTATCTATCACTAACTAGACCAGACATTGCCTTTGCTGTAAACAAAGTTTGTCAATTCATGCACGCACCTAAGCTCCCCCATTGGATTGCAGTCAAACGGATTCTGCGCTATTTGAAAGGGACCATCAATCATGGCCTCTTTTTCTCCTCCAATTCCTCTTTTAAGCTTCAAGCTTACTCTGATGCAGATTGGGCAGGATGCCCAGATGATAGGAAGTCTACAGGGGGGTATTGTGTTTATTTGGGTCGACATTTGATTTCTTGGAGCTCAAAAAAACAGAAAACGGTAGCTAGGTCCAGCACAGAAGCTGAGTACAAAGCTGTGGCCACTTCTGCTGCTGAGATTATCTGGCTTCAGACCTTAATCTCTGAACTTGGTCTACCATTATCACAAGCTCCTATTCTATGGTGTGACAACATTGGAGCTACCTATCTGGCTGCCAATCCTATTTTTCACTCACGAACAAAGCATGTTGATATTGATTTTCATTTTGTTCGAGATCGAGTAGCAGCCAAGTCTCTGACCATTGCCTTCATACCCTCTAAAGACCAACTTGCAGATGCACTTACGAAACCATTAGTGGCTGACAGGTTCTTCAAACTCAGATCGAGTCTCAATGTCATTGACACTCCCTTGGACTCGAGGGGGCATATTAACATAGAGGATTCTGCCACCTCATCAAGAAGAATTGGACACGTCATTGAAGGAGTAACAACTGAATCTAACTTAATTGCACAGAAAATAACTTTGTAACAATAGAAGAATTTGTTGATATTTACCTTCAGTAGTTGTAACTACTTTATATTCCTTTCTTCCTGTATAAATTCCACAATCAATGAAATGAAATCTTGCTTGAGCATTCAGCCAAAATATGGAATTCTGTCTAGTAGAGTTAACTCAGGTGCATGTCTTCATAAATTACCTCAGAGCGGGCCTCCTTTGCGATTTCTCTAATATCTTCTTTCCCTGTCCAAACCCTCGGCAGTGAATTCTTGTCATGGTTGAAGACAGTAATAAACCTAGAAGTCCCCGAATTATAAGCAATTAGAAGGGCAATTGCTGAGAAAAGATGTCCTGCAAAACGAGATTTTTTACCAACGTGTCCTTCATGCGCACCAGGACTTTACCAGCTTCCTCTCTTGCTTTTCTCTCCACTAAACTTCTAGAATATTCCTGCAAACTCTGTACCATTTCCTCAAATATTGCCTGGTCCAATTCAAAACCAGCAACAGCAGAAGGAAAAGCGGATACAGCTACATTAGTCTCATGTTTCAGGAGTCTTCTTATTGAAGCCCATGTGTCTTTCCCACCAGATTCAAAAAGGGATTCCACAGGTTCAGTGAGTGCCGCGGAAATTTGTTTCTGTAAATGAAGTTAGTTTCTGCAAATGTTATATAAATTCCCACTACCTTCATATCTGGAAAGTAAAATAGAAACAATAAACTAGAAAAGAATACTAGTTCCAATGAAGAGAATCAAAATTTCCCGTCATCCAAGAATACATACCTTATAATTGGCTATCAATTCTGACAACTTCTCACTTTGAACTACGGATGCATGAGCTTCAATATCACGATGAAGTTTTTCACGTACTTTAGAAGCATCCCAACTAGCCTGCTGTATAGCAGCATCTGAAATTGGAGACGAAAAGCACTCTATGATGGAACAATTAAACAAACACATTCGCTAGCACTCAGTAAATCAATCACAGTGAGACTACCGCAGCTAACTATAGGGTTCAAGCAGGGAAGAGCTCAAATAAGCATTCTTCAAGAAAGAAATAAGAGTTAAGAAAAAATTCCAGAACAAAAACCCTCCTCCTGAAGGAGGAAAAATGGGAAAGGATTTCTAATAGATAGGAGGTAGTCTTCATAGAAATAGCAATAATAAACTACAGTACTTATTGTCTGAGCTGCAGGAAAATTTATATATATTTGATAGGAGGAGGGGGATGGGGAGGTGGAGGGGAAACTACAGATGAACATTGTAAATACAGCACCTAAACATCCCTGATCAAACTCGAGCATAGAAGATTGACTGCAGCTACGAACAGATGCAGCAAATCCTTCTCCTCTAGCCAAAGATTGTTCCAGTCGAGTCTTAAAACTTTCAAGTGCTCTAGAACATAGATGCCCCAACATGGAGATATAAACAGGATGAACCAACTGCAATATGCATATTTTATCATTTAAAGATAATACCTTGATTTCAGAAGAAACAAGTTGGCATTAATCCAAGAAGATATTCAAATATGAATGTATGGCACATATCCCACTTGTTCATGGAAGATGTACAAGCCTCAACCAACAGCCCACCCCCTAAAAACTGGAAGAGAATGGGGAAAAATGAGTGATGATGACATTTTCGGAATACCTCGAGCACGACGACTCCCGTGGGTCCCGTTTCCTCAATTGGGGTCCCAAGTCCTCGAGCGTGTATGATCCTCGAGTTAGCTCGAGGACTATCTCTCAACGTGGCTCTGAATTCTAGACAATAGTCCTCGGGATATATGGTGGTCGGGATATTTACTTGACTCTTCTCAATGCGCTTCGTGATCAACCGTCACTGGCCCACTTCTATGAAGGTGTCCTAACTCTACCCAATTACTGTTTCTCAAAGAATTCTAGGTCAACAAAGAGTCTACCCTTGGTGGAATTACGAGAAGGACAGGATACACCTATTCCGCACATATCCCTACAATGACTCCTGAAAATAAGGAGATGAATCCTACTTGAACTACATTACCCACCACTATAAATATGCCACTCTCATTCATTATTCAGGTACGTTTTGACACATATTTTCAGCATATACTTTATGAAATCCCTTCTCTGACTTAAGCATCGGAGGGGCGACGAGGACATACCTCGACGCCTTTGTTCCAGGTACCAGAAGAAGATCAAGACTGTGCTCGTTTGTAGTCGTCAACCTCGGAATATTCTAGGTGCGAATTTTTGGTAGCATCATTGGCGCCATCTGTGGGAACCGCTACCAAAAGTCATGGTGAATACACGTTCAGGTCATCTTCCGGCAAGCTCATCAGCTCCGAACCAGCCCCCCGTTACGGAACACCCAGTACATCAAGGGGAGTCATCAGCGGTACCAGCTCCTCAACCGGCTATGGTCACTGTCGGAGCGTTTGAGGACCTCCGCCAGCAAGTTGCGATGTTAACCCAGCTACTGATTGGAAGGAATGCGCCCCAGGACCCGGCGCCGGAACACACACCGGTGGCACGGGAGGATTTCATAGCAGATGCTCGGGCTCGGGATAATAACGGAGCCCATGACAATGGTGGATCGGGCGCCTCGGGCATACCCCCATTGGCCTCGGCCTCAAGATGGTCAAGACACCTCTCCAGGGTTTCGGGGGTGGAGCAATTATCCCTGAAGGTATTGTGGACCTTCCCCTAACTTTGGGCACGGCGCAGAAACAGGTGACAGAGATCACGCCATTCCACGTTGTCCGGATGCCTGTGCCATACAACGCCATACTTGGAAGACCACTACTGAATAAAGTCAGAGCCATAGTATCCACTTTTCATCTTGCTATGAAGTTCCCGACAGGCCACGGCATAGGAGTTGTGCGCGGGGATCAGTCAGCGGCCAGAAAATGTTATGTCGCAAGCATCCAAGGCTTGGGCACTAACGTCATGCAGTTGTCTGCCAATGAGCTCGAGCTCGAGCATCATGATAGACTTGCTCCAGTGGAAGACTTGGTAGAGGTCTAGCTCGAGCATGGTAAGAATGTAACAGTCGGCCGGGAGCTTGATCACCTTTTAAAAGAAGAGCTCGTCAAGTGCTTATCACGTAACATTGATGTATTCGCATGGAAGGTTGAAGACATGCCTGGGATAGATGCTGATGTCATCGTCCATCGTCTGAATGTGAGGCCTGATGCTAGACCCATAAAACAGAGGAAGCGGCAATTTGCGCCCGAAAGGTGGGAGGTTATACGCGAGGAAATCAATAAGCTCATCAGTGCCCGATTCATTAGAGAGGTCCAATATCCGGATTGGCTCGCCAACGTTGTTCTCGTGAAGAAGCCCAATGGAAAGTGGAGGGTGTGCATCGACTTCACTGATCTCAACAAGGCATGCCCAAAAGGCAATTATCCTCTACCTCGGATCGACAACTTGGTGGACAGCACCTTGGGTCATAAGCTATATAGCTTTCTTGATGCTTTCTCAGGCTACCACCAGATCCTTATGGCTGAAGAAGACCAAGAGAAGACGTCGTTCATAGCCGACTCAGACATCTATTGCTACAAGAAGGGCAAAATTGAAGGGCAAAATTGGAAAATAGCTATTGAAAGTCAACAAAAATTTCATGGGAAATCACACCACCACCGTACCTCCATTATCATGTATGGCCAACCTCTATTGCCACAATTCAACACAAAAAAATGGTACAATTGTCAGATGTCACCGTAAGAAAAGGAGAATTGAACAAAAAAAGGGAGGCCAAACACACGCTAAACCTTTTAATTATGAAATCTTCCAATATACGAAAATCAAAACATCGTGGGCCGCATCATTCTCATTTACAACTCTGAGCCCAATACTGTTGGTGGGCTTACAGGAGAGCCCGTAATAATTGCTTATCCAAACACCTCTTTCCAAACAATCCACCACAGCAACCGGCGTCCTTCCATGGCATTCACACCGACACTCTTCTCAAAGGCCTCTCTTTTCCAAACAATCCACCACAGCAACCAGCGTCCTTCCATGGCATTCACACCGACACTCTTCTCAAAGGTCTCTCTTTTCTCTTACAGAAGAACCTTTTGCATACAATTAGCTTCTGCTTTTCACGAATTCCAGCCCAACAAGAAGTGGAGGCAACCGGTGGCATCAGTTCTCAAGCTTGGTGGCGTCAAGATTGCCAAAGATGGTACATGCTCACTTCTAGAAATTAATTTTTTTCTTCAATTGCTTCGCTTGTGTTTTAGATTTTCAGTTTGGATCGAAGTTATTTTCATTGTTCTCTGTAATGAGTGAAGTTCAACCTGGGAATGAATTCACTTAAAATCAGTACCAATTTAATAATCACAGCTCAATTGATTAATAGAACTGATTTGGTAAACTCCATCACTGCTTCCACCACCATCATTTTCAGAATTTTGATTAACCACTAAATTGAGAATGGGTGATGATAGAATTAGAGGAAGAAAAAGAAGATATAAGAAGGAGTTGAAGAAATAAGAGAGAGAATTGATTAATAGAACTGATTTAACATCAACAACACGTTCATTTTCTCCTCTGTTCTGTACATATAGGCTGAAACACAAAATAGATGGAAATAGTATTCCCATTTACAAAAAACACAATAAGCAAAATGACACTTAAATGCTAGTTGTGGACCCCACTTCTGAAAGCTACTTACGGTTGGTTCTTTTCGTTCTTTTCCCCCCATTTCTTCCATTCAATTGTTGCTACCTCATCATGACATTCTCTCGTTGTAATCACTATGAAAGTTCATATCTTGGTTGTTTTGTTATGAATTACTCTATCAGAATTTTATTTTTTTTACTAGATGGGTAATTCTGCAAATCGACTATTTGGATTGACTATTGTTTTGAAAAACTTGAATATCTTTGATTTTAAATTTGTGCAATTGGTACTGAGTAATGGTATTTGTAAACTGTACTTACCCAGCAGTCCATGTGACGGGGCACCGCCACATTCTCTAATGAATGAAAATGCATCCCAAGAAAATGTGGTAGTTACATTCCTGCGACATAGATGATGATGGGTAATCACCGGTTACAAATAGCATTGCTCATTGTTATTTTGGAGTGAGTGGAACAAAAGCGAAAGAGAATGTGCACCTTTTATTCTAGGATATGTTTTCTGTGTATTTGCATATTGGTTATGGCTTAATGGAAGGTTTTGCTTTCTTGTGTTGAATTTTTTTCAATTTATGAATGGGCTGAATGTTGGGGGCTGGCAAGAATGGAGTAGATTTTTTCATATATTTATATTTGTTCCCATTTATTTAATGGGTTGTGTGATCATGCCATATTTCTCGAATCATTGCTCGTCAACTTATGGAACTTTGGATGATTAAATTTGTAGAAATAGTAAGAGATAACCCAACAAACAATGTTCCTGATTCAATATTCTCAAAGCTTGGAATGCAGCTTCACAGGAGGGATCAACATCCACTTGGCATCCTGAAGAATGCAATCTATGACTATTTTGACACAAATTATCCCAACAAATTTGACAAGTTTGATGATTTGTGCCCAATAGTTTCGACCATTGCGGTAGGTTAATTGGTCCATAAAAGAATTTGAAGCTTGCTTTTCTCCTTAATTAACATGTCATATGAACTCGCAATGCTCCTAGCTATGATTATTTTAATAGTGGTGATCAAATGTTTGGTATTTTCTCCCCTGTTAAAGTTTACCTTTTTCTTATTTAATATATTATTTCGGTTTTAGTGGGGTACCTCAATTGGTCCCCTGCTCTACTGATAGTTCTTGAAGCTTATAAAAACAGGAAACACCACAATTAATGCTATAAAGGAAAAAACTCCAAAGGGTTTAGTTGATTTTACTATTTTTTTCTTGGTTCTTAATTAATGCTAGTATAGAAAAGGTGGGGAGCTAGGCGGCATCCAAGATATTTAGATGACGACACTCTATGAAATAACAATAAGTCCATTGACTTGAGCACCACGTATTAGACTTAAATAAGTTAGGGGACACAAAATCTCCAATATGACTTTGCTTGTGTGCCAAAGGGTCTTGGGACTGAGTAAACATTTTCCAAGTCATGATAATTGAACTTAATCTCTTTATTTCTAAGAACGCCTAGAGTGACTCATAACTTGATGCAAATATGACCGAGGGATCAAAGATTCAAAGATATTGTATATTCACTTCCAAATGCGATTAATTGAAATAAATGATTTAACTCTAAAGACCTCGTGAGAACCTAAAGAATTACCGAATCAAATAAAATTATGTCCATGGAATCACCAAATCTGGAATTACTGAGACGATTATATTCTTAATCTTTAGCTTCGCGCTAAAGCTTGATAATCTTGTACTGCCACATTGGTTTTTTGATTTTGTTGGTTGATTGCTGTATTTTGATAGTTGATCTTGTTCTTGCAGAACTTTGATGATGTATTGGTACCTGCTGATCATGTGAGCAGGAGTTATATTGATTCATATTATGTGGATTCTGAAACTGTTTTGAGGTGTCTGATCATGTGAGCAGGAGTTATAATGATACATATTATGTGGATTCTGAAACTGTTTTGAGGTGCCATACTAGTGCTCATCAAGCTGAGTTACTGAGAGGAGGGCACACTCATTTCCTTGTCACTGGAGATGTATATCGCAGAGATTCTATTGATTCAACTCATTACCCTGTATTCCATCAGGTTTGTATTAATATCTGATGATCATGTTTTTCTGTCTAATTTCAATGCTCAAGTTGTATTTTTTCCTCGATGCTGTCCTGTGTGTAATATTCAGATGGAAGGTGTTAGAGTTTTTACGCCGGCTGATTGGGAGGCATCTGGCACTGATGCCACATCATATGCTGCGGAGGATCTAAAGAAATGCCTTGAGGGGTTAGCACGCCATTTATTTGGTAAAGTTTGATTTGAACTTTAAATATTTCATTTGGAATCCACTTTATGCAATATTCAGAATCCAGTTGGATTTACCATCAGAAAGGTAGCTGCAGCCTACAGGTGATTGTGTTATGCCGATAGTTTCCCTTATCTAGATCTAAATTGTACTGTGATCTGATTATAATTTATGTTCATAACTAGTGGATTTTATATCATTACTGCAACCCACACCCGCCCCCTCCTTTCCATCACACACAGAGAAAATGATAGAAATGAAGGTGGGAATGAAGAGAAAAATAGAAGTGAGAAGAATGGTTCCCAAAATCTAACTGAATATCTGTGCAATTATACCTCACATGACCAGAGAACCAAGTTTAGAACATAGCTCATGCAACTGAATTCCTAGCTCTGTCACAGAAAACCATCAATGTGCCTCCAAATTATTAGCATACTACTGTGCCTATTGGCATTCGTCGGATTCAATGGTTTTCAAATCCTCTTCAGCATTGATGTTTAGAATTTTGCAGGTGGTGTGGAAATGCGCTGGATTGACACTTATTTTCCCTTCACCAACCCATCATTTGAATTGGAGATATATTTTCAGGTATTAATCTTGATTGCACCCATTGATTAGGATTATTGTTCTTTCTACTAGCAGATCTTTTATATCTTGATTTGGCACTTGGAAAATTTAATGTTTCTTCTCGGAGACATGTGAAGTCATATGCTAAAAGTGATACTATTATTTGTAACAAAATTGCTAATAAAGTCATTTTTGGACCTGATCTATTGCACAAGGAAACTAATGTGCACTGACAAAATAGGCTGAATTTTCTAACAAGCGTGAAATCATTTCAATTGCCCCAAATAATTGAACTATTGGTGTACGGAGGTCTGCCCATCATCTATTTTCCCATTTTGCTTTGTCCAGTTCTGAATACTGTTAATGCTTGACATCGACTTGTAGATGTTCTAAAATAGTATGATAGTGTAATAATAGTTGTAAGCAACAGTTAAGAGTTGGCCTCACGTATATGGTGCTTAGAGAAGCTACTTAGAAGTTGGAAGATAGAACAAACATTGTGTGGTATAGAATGAGTGACTGTTCAAAGAAGACAATGGCTGAGCTTTAGGAGGAACTGAAGGAGGAGGGCCCAATGCTAAGGAGCTATGGTGGTACAGTGATGATGTTCAAGGTATAATTAAGACACTGAGCTTGTCTATCAGGAATCTTGAAAACTATATATCAGCAAGAAGAAAGCTAAAAGGCTGTCTAAGAGGCAATATTAAGAGCATATGACAAGTTCTATGACTGTCGACATTAAAGGAGAGTAAAAGTGCATAGGATAGCTGAAATAATGGGATGGAAAATGAAACCTTTAAATTGTCAAGTGCATTAAGGACAAGGACCGAGAGTTTTGAAAAGTGAGGAAGATATAAAGAAGAGGTGAAGATGTTATTTTAGAAGATTGTTGCATTAATATTGTGTCGCAATTATTGGATAGGAGAAGCTATTAACCTCGAGAAGAGCATAGACATCTTACTATTTTGTGAAATTAGGGTATTGAAGGCAAAGGAAGACCTCAAAAATGGGAAACTTGTTGAGGCTTTGAGACATGTCAGTATTTCTATTGAACTTTGGTAGTAGTTTTTGGGGAAGTTAGCATATCTTGTTTAGCAAAGTTATTTAACAAAATTAGTACAACTAAAAAGATGGTGGGCAAGTAGGGAATGCAATATCCATTCATAGTTTGAAAAAACGTAAACGGGTACTGAGGCGTTTTTTTGTCATGAGGCGAGACGTAAGCCTCACCACAAACAAAACAGGTGTAATCTACTGTACAGAATGGGTGCAATTTGGCGTCGATGCACTGAACAAGAAAAAAACCAAGCAAAGTCTAGTGAAACAATTTTAAATTGTAAGTCACTAGAAGAAGGCAGAAGCAAATGAGAAAAGAGACATAGAAGCAGCATTTGAGGACCTCTTTTAAGCGAAGAATTGAAGATAAGTTTTCTGGCTGCCGTTTAGTTCTGGAAAGATTTCTGACTGCCGTGTAGTTCTAGCCATCTAGGAAGATTTTTGTCTGCCGTGAAGAAGGATTTTTGACTGCCTTTTGGTATTCTAGATATTTTAATATTTTGTTTGGCCCAAAATGCCTTTTTAAATGGGCCATTCTCTTTTTTAAAGAGGGCCTTTTTTAATTCCTTTTCAAAAACCTGAAAAAACGTACTTCAAATGAGGCGCACGCCTCATTTTTTTTTTGCCTCAGATGTAGAGGCGTGCGTCTCATTTTTATTGCCTCACAGATTGAGCCTCGAGGCATAGAAGCTGCGCTTCATAGTGAGGCGGGCCTCAGTAGGGTTTTTTCATACCATGTATCCATTTATAGAAATAAGGGAGGTGTTTATAATTATGCTAATCAATAAGGCATTAGGTTAAAAAGTCACACAGTGATACTTGTGAGAGATTGAAAAATGAACAGTTCAGAGATTTAAATCGGATTTATGCAATAGAGAATGAACCATGGAAGCAATACCTTAATTTGCAGTGCAATATTTTATCATTACGAAAAAACCATAGAGTATGAAGCTTGTGGTTTAATTTTGAGATGACTTTTCACTGCTCCATCTTAAATTTTCTTTGATGAGATGGACAGGGATGAACTGATATTGTGTTATTACTTTATTTGTTGGTAAAAGATTTACCTGTGTGTTTATACTGCAGAGGCAAGCTCAATTTTTTACTTGAAATCGTATGTTCAATAAGAAAAGAATGAAAAACAGAAGAAATAAACCTAAAATAAAAACTAGATACGCAGTTGTATGTTTAATGGAAAATTAGATGGTTAAATCAAAGGAAAAAGAAAAAAATAAAAATTAGATAAACATTCTTCATTTTGTCAGCTAATCTTGGAAGCCAATATCTTTGGAATTGTCCTGGAACTCCTGAGTTATTCTTGTCATTCAAGATAAAAAATGAACCTATCAATTATTTCCTAGTTTATTCGGAATTCAGTGTCAACACTTAGCATCTGGTACCTGGAGTGTGTATGAATCAACACTTCATGAAGGAGCAAAACATTTGATGTGATCTTGTGGATTGCTTGAACACATATCTCAACTCTTTCTAAATGATCTTTTGTTTTCGTTTTCTTTTCTAGCTTTATTGGGCATGATCTATGGGAGTGGGAAACAAGAAATGAAGTGTATCAAATATTTTCTGGTTATATTTCTACTAATATGTTCTTTAATGAGTTTTAACGTCGTATTTTATTCATTTGGCATGCATTTTTCCAGTCATCCTACCAAATAACAATTTTGTCACATATGATAAACTATTAACCATTTAACAGGACGATTGGTTGGAAGTTCTAGGTTGTGGAGTGATGGAACAAGAAATATTGAAGAGAAGTGGTAGGGTGGACAACGTTGCTTGGGCCTTTGGGCTTGGACTGGAGCGATTAGCAATGGTTTTATTTGATATTCCAGATATTCGCCTTTTCTGGTCGAATGATGAGCGGTTTACTTCTCAAGTATTTCCTTAATGTGTTTTCAGTTATTTTTTCCCTATGCTTTACATATGATACTGTATTCAACAATTTTTCCATTTTCTTAATTTTTGTTTAGTTCTCTAAAGGGCAGCTTGGTATCAAGTTTAAACCATTTTCAAAGGTATGACTCGACGTATTTCACAAATATGTTTAGGCTTGCATAACTATCTATTCAAAAAATGCAATTTTTAGTGGGAGTTGGACCTCACAAGCGCACGTTTTAATTCTATATCCCGTTTCTTGCCTAAATATGGATGTACAAATTTCTTTGTACTGAATGTTGTTTTTACACTCCCGTTTCAAAATATTTGCTTTGTTTCTAGTTCTATAGAAGGAGCACTTGTGACTTTTGTATAGAAACTCAAATATTTTTATGCTTTTACAGTATCCTCCATGTTACAAGGACATGAGTTTTTGGATCAGCGATTCATTTACTGAGAACAACCTCTGCGAAGTTGTTAGAGGTATCGCTGGGGATCTTGTAGAGGAGGTATGTTCATTAATATTACATTATTATACCCTTTTCTAGTAGAAGTTTGGTAAGACAGTGATTCATTCACTGCTATGGAAAAGACATGGTAGTGACAGTAATCGTATGACTTTTCAAGGCTTGGGACCAGCTATGAAATATATATAGGGCCGTAAAATCATGTAGATCAAAAACAAACCCTTGAAGATAATTTGACAAACGCTAACAAACTAGTGTAACTACTGCAAAGATGTTCAATGTGGACTGATTGCCATATAACTATCAACAGGTTTATTCTTTAAATGTTTCTAGGGCCACAAAACTTCCATTATGCTTATCCTCAGCAAGAATATGCCGCCATGTTGAGTTTGCATTAGAATTAGCTAGATTTTCGTTTCAAATTCAATTTCTAATTTTAGTACGATATGTTTTAGATGACATAATGAATTTGTAGCTTGGTAGTGATGATGATCTTGTAAATGTTGCACAATTTTTGAAGCCTTGAGGTTAACTTTTTTAACAGAAGAAAAGATAAATATGCAGGTTTGCATTATTCGATGTTTACTTTTTTCTATTTCTGGTGCCTAATTATCGTGCTTCAGAGAAGAAAAGTGCATCTATGAAGTTAAGCAATGCACTGTCCTTTCACTTTTACTAGATCTAATTCATTAGAAAGGAGCCACATGGTAGAAGCTGCTAATTAAAATGTTCTGATTTGTATTAGCCAAAGTATACAATTTTGGAGTTTGTTGATATTCCTCATCAGCTAGCTGAAGTAAAAAATTCCTTTAGGGTGTGTTTGATTGCGAGCATGGAATTAGCATGACAAGAAAATAATTTCTAGGCAATTCATTTTAGGCAATTCAATTACCTAGAAATTATTTGTATGAAAATTATTAATTAAATGTGTTTGATTGATTTATTTTTCAACCTAGAAAATACTATATTTATTCATTTTTTATTAGTAGGTAAATGAGTGAGAGGAGATAGATGAGAGAGAGAAAGAGAGAGTGAATTACCCAAAAAATAAAAATACATGACCCTAAAGAAAATATTTTCCTTGTTTCAAGAAAGATATGGTCACGTGACCAAAAGTAGGAAAATATTTTTGGTGGAAAAAATTGTCAATCAAATAGCACAAAAGTTGGAAATTAGATGAAAAAACACATTTTTCATGAAAAATATTGACAATCAAACGCACCCTTAGTAATTTATTTAATTCACCAAATCATATCAATTTTCTTGCAAGGTGAAATTGATAGACAACTTCACCAACAAGAAAGGAATGACCAGTCATTGTTATAGGATAGCATATCGATCAATGGAGCGTTCTCTCACGGATGAGGAGATAAACGACTTGCAGGTAGACCACTAAGGAAATATAGCAAATAAATTTCTTTACTATGTATTGTGTCTTTGCTTTTGTTCTAATATAGATGAAAATTCATTTATGATTTTGGTTGGCAGTGGAGGGTACGAGAACAAGTCGAGACCAAGTTGCTCGTTGTTCTTAGATGAATTTCTCTTGTACCGATTGCAAGCATTGTTAATTTACACTTATCTCATTTTCCAAGTTTCTGGGAGTTGTTACTCTTCTATGTAGGAATAATATTACAATCATGTTACATGTACACTGTAGTTGAAATCCAGGTTTATACTCTTCCATGTGACCATATCTACATTATTGATTTTGACCACAATCATTACTGTCCAGATTTCTTCCACATAGAAGATATCGAGGAAAGTATCAACGAGAATGTACATCCAGCATTATTCATAATATTATGTACTTTGTATATTTGCAAATTAAAAGTTGAAAGAAACATAAGTGGATTAATGACAGGTTAAAAAGGGACATTTCAATGGGAGGTTTTAAATCGAATGGTCATATCAGATACCTATGTTGAAGATTAGAGGTATAGGTTTATAGGGTCAAAGAACAAAGCGTTTGGTCAAAATGATGGGTTTGTTTGTTTGTACGATCACAACACAAGTTGGGTCCTATTTTATCTGCTTTTCACAAGTGTACAATTACTCGTAGTTCTGTTAAAATCTAAATTTTAATTGAAGTTCAAGTCAACAATTAATATCAGTCACATATTTTTTGGAATTCACAATTTTTCAATCAAACATTTCATCGACTTTTATGAAAACTTATTGAAAATCTTATTTTAATCCTCACGAAACAGGGCATAATTGTATTTCACATTGTCATGTTTCAGCAAAGGAGTGATGATACTTTATAATACCAAAAGTCAAGCCCGTGATGATGCTTAGGAGAGGCTATTTCTAGGCTGGATTATTAAGTATTACAAAGTGGTCGTCACTCCTTTGAAATTGATTAGGCATTTTTTCTTAGATGTCCGATTTTAAAGTGAGGTTTATATAAAGAGCAAGCACTCTTATTGACTGAGCAGATTGATGCATGTGGGCTACTAGTAGTAGAGTTTTTGTTTACGTGGACTCATCTAATTGAGAATATGAGTTGCTGTAGCCATAAAATGTGGAAGGTTTGTAATGTAATGATACTAATTTTACCTCAAATGGCTAGACGTAGGTATAGTTTTCAAATTTATAACTAACTTGGCTTTGTTTTTACAAGTCAGTTTGGAGGTTGAGTTACGTGGTTGTGCTCGTGGTTAAACGTGAGGTGAAGAGTGTACATTCGAGGGCACTTCAAATTCGAACGGGTTACTTTAAAGAGAATTTTGATAATAGAATATGTAAAGTCAGTTAAGAACACGGATTTTTGGGAAATTTATTTTGATAAAAGAGATAAAATGTAAGGATTAATCTACCTTCCCAGAAGAAATCATTCGAAATAGTGCCAAAAAGGTAAGTGACGGGGGTGATTGGATGAAAGAGATGATTGAGTTTTAAACTGTTCAATGATAAAATGTCACATGACATTATGCCCCTGTTTGAGTCACATTCCCATTTTCCTATTCATTTTCAAACTCACATTCTTTAATAAAATAATATTTTCCATCACATCAATAACTTTTCATTCTTTTTCAACCAAATATCCCTCATCACATCACATCAAAAAAATGCATTGTCTCCTAAAAAATGTGCATCAAGCACACTCTATGTAAACATTTATGTCAAGTATGATGTACACGGAAGGTTCCTGATTCCATTGGGGAAATTGGGTCTTATGTGGTTCACTGGTTTGTGTGAGGAATGATAAGGCGGAATTGTATCATAAGAAGACTCCTCTAACACAAGTCTCCAAATCCCTTGTAGGGGATGGAGGTGGAGGGCTATGCATTGTGAAGGATGAGGAAAATGAAAGTGGCAAGCTGCTTGTCATCACAACATTTTCAAAGGTATGTGATTATTTATCTTGAACTCTTTTTTCGAAGTTTTTTAATAGTATATTACCAGTGTTGCATCCATTTTTAATTTGATATATTTCACACTAGGAAAGATGTGTTTCAAAAAGTCCACTGCTTCTGATGGATTTGCTTGGATAAAAGATTGAGGAGTCAAGGAAAACAATATGTTTTTTAGTTTAGTAATTATACTCTATGCTAAAAGTTGAAGGCTTGCTGTAAGACGACCTACTGCTACAATTTAGAGTAAAAGGAATTGTGCGAATCAAAACCATTAATTAAACATCTGGGTGTGACTTACATATCTGGACATGATTCTGGTCAATATATTCGTTGTACTTGTTATTTTATGATTTGAGCTAGGAAAGATTTTGTAATTCTAGGTTCACCTCTGGGCTCTACACTGGGAATTGAATTGAATGTATATATGAGCTTAAACTTAGTACTTTTGGAGTGAGACGTGATTGATATGTTATATAGACGGTTATTGAGACGTCCTGACATAATATGTAATCTGTTTCAATGCAAGGTTATGTGCTACAGAAAGGTTTCTGGAGAAGAACAAATCAAGGATCTGCTGCGAAAGAAGAACTTCAAAGAAAACTATTTTCTTGGTTGAAGAGCTACAGAGTGATGGTGAACTGACAAAAGAAATGCTTTCTTTTGTCCACGCCCAGGTCGGCTTTCTCTTGTTGTTTGACTTGCACTTCGAGGAAGCAGTAGATCACTTTTTGCTTTCAGAAACAATGCAGCCTCTGAGCTTTTCCCATTCATCATCTGCGACCCAAATCGCTGGACCCTGCTGGTATATCTAAATACTAGTGATATAACATTTGCACGTCGTTTCCTATTCTTATAATTTATAGCCAAACCATGAATGTCACTCCTGAAAAAAGTGATTTAGCATTTGGTACGCTTTTTTTTTTCTTTCTTTCGAGCTGTTGAAAAGGACTGTTTTATATAGGTCGTGTTTAACTGGGTATGTGTTTGATCTTTCTACTGTTGTGTTCGACTGAATAAGAATTGCCATTGCCTCAAAACATATGAATTTATGATAGAAGGGGTAAGGGAAGGGTTTCATTATCGAGAACTCTAGTGCTGGACATGATAAGATTTTCCATGCATTTTGTAGTCAATTATCTATTGATTGCTTACACTCCCTTTCTTGTCAGTGGAGCATCCTGTGGATGTCACATAAAACACGCTATCCTCAATAAACACTAACATGTTGTGGTTGTATGCACCACCAAAAATTAAACTGTTGGTTACATGAATATTTCTCGGAAGGATTCATGTGATAAGATTTATCAAAGTTTTATGTTAGCTGTCAACCTAATAGCATTGTGGTTGTATAATTAATAAAATTAATATTACTGAGTTTGTAGCTATCTTTTTCTAAAAGATCTTGCTTTCAGAAGAGAGATGCTATCTCACTAGAACAGTAGAGAGAGAGAGAGAGAGAGAGAGATGTGCCCGATGTGGTTGAAACCAAGTTTGACATGTGCCTGATGTGGTTGAAAAATATTCGATTTGACTGAACCACTCATAAGAGGATCCGACACTGAGTTTATCATTACAAAGCTTAGCTTTTGGTTCTTTGATTTATAGTTGTCTATTGAGTTATATTATCTGGCGATTTGTCAGTTAGGTGAAATAAAGTAAAACATAAAAGGAACATGATGTAGCTTCTGTATTTATTGTTGATACTACAAGCAGATTGGAGGAATGTGGATTTGATAAATGAAAAAAATAGAACATTTCTCTCCGTCGATCTCCCTTCTCTCTGCACATGCATACTTGCACATCATTTCATTGTGTGTATCGCGTATAGTACCTTCCCTGTTTTTCATTGTATTTTTCTTGTTTTTGAATTGTCTGAGAACTCAATGAAATGTCTATTTTCAGGTTCCAAGGAATCGATATTGGGGATTGCATCCTCCTCCAACACCTCTTGAAAATGTTATAGATGATGGGTTGACAGCTATTCAAAGAGCTGTTTTTCTTAAGAACGCAGGTGTGGAGACTGCTGTAGATGATGAGTTTCATCTAAATCCACCTAGTAGAGCTGATTTGTTATAGAGTTGGCATTAATTTCTTGTATACACCTCAATGAATTGCAGTTTGTTGTTTATTGATAAGCAGCATAATTAATAATTCTATTGGGATTGTTGAGCAACTTAAACGTTAACTATGGAAATCAATGGGCAGTGCAGGAGGAGTTAGAAACATTATTGAATGACTCTGGTCACCTAAGAACACTTGCTTTTCTGTATGCTCGGAAGGGGATAAGTGCTAAAGCTCTGGGTATTTGGCGCATACTTGCAAGAAATTATTCACAGGGAAGCTATTATAGAGGACCAGAGGAAACTGGTTCAACAACAGAGAATGAAGATTCGACTGCTGATTTAAAAGTTTCTTCTAGAAATGTTATATTTGGTTGAGAAACAACTGCATTAGAGGCATCAAGGATTCTTGAGGAGTCTTCTGACCAAGAACTGGTACTTCAGCATCTTGGATGGGTAAGTAACAATAGTTTCGAAATTATAAGCTTTGTGCTTGACATATGACGTATCTGATTGCTGATGGGTTATTGAATTTTTGCCTTAGATTGCAGATATCAACCAAATGCTTGCTGTTCAAGTACTGATATCAGAAAAAAAGAACTGATCAGCTATCACCAGGTAATGCTTATAATAAGCACAGGTTCTGGATTATTGGCTTCAAAGGCTGTAAAGAATCAAGCTTGCAATTATAATATCTTTTTCGCTCTTACATCCTTCATTGATTAATTTCTATTTTTGTGGTTAACATAAACTCCAAATTGCAGATGAAGTTATTGTTGTAGACAGGTTTGAGCTTGAACCCTCCGAGTGGCCCGCAATCTGAGCCATATACGGGCTTCCTTCAGAAAAAAGGCACTTTAAGATCGTTATCAGCAAAAGGACCCTTTTCGTCATTCATCAACTGATGGCTACCAAGAGTAAGGCGAGATGATCCTTCGTTTTAGCATTCTGTTCTTGGTGTGATTATTCTAAAATCTCCATATACTTTGTAGGTCAACATGATAACAAGGAGCAGATGAGGCCCACTCTGCTTCAGTTGAGGAGTCTCAGGGAGGCTCAAAGGAAAAAACCTATGGGTGCTAGCTTTTCCTCCTACAAGCACCAGCGAGTTGAACTGACT